TGTGCCGGGTGCCCGCCACCCCGTGGTCTGCAGGCAGGCGCAGGGTGCTCGGCTTCCATGAGAAAATCAAGAGATTTGGGTCAGTTCCCTGCTCTGCCTCGGGCTCCTGCTGCGGCCGGGGATGCTGCGGGCAGGTGAGAGCCCAGGGGCGGCCGGGAGCAGCTCAGCCCGAGGCAGAGCCCGCTGCAGCCCTTCAAAGTGGAAAGCGTGTTTATTTCTGGGATATCTGGTTTCCGGCAGGAAGGCCGGCAACTGCCAAGGTTTTTATTGGATCCCAGTGAAAGGAATTTAGAGAGTCCTGTGCTTGTTGTCTTTCCCTGTGCCTGCAGTGGTTAAGGAGCATTTTTACCTTTGAATGGGAGCAAGGGGCACGGGGATTTGGCATCTGGCACCGGCACGTCCGTGGTGATGGAGTTTCAAACAGGTTGCCTTGTTGTCTCCCGGGCAGGAGGCATCAGGAGGGATCGGGGCTGGGAAAGCACAGAGAGGGGCTTGGAAGTAGTTGAAAGAACCTGAAGCATGTGGGAAGTGTTGCTTGAGCTCCTCTCCTCGTAGCAGGGCTGGGGCCGGGTATTTCACATTTGTTACTAGTTTGGCCAAGGTTTTGACTGTTCTTGGAGGTAATTTTATAGGAGATTGAAATTCTGAAGACCACGTACAGTGGCTTGATTGCTTCAATGTGTCGTGGAGACAACTCCAGAGCTCTGATTGCCCTTGGATGCTGCCAGCGCTGACCAACGTCCTCCAGGGCCTGAGATCCGTGCCAGGTCCCGTTCCTGTCCGCGCACGGGGAGCTCTTGGCTTAATGCTGGGGTTTCCCAGGGCCCCTTCTAGCCCAGCTGAAGAGCCGCTGCCCTGAGGAAGGGGAAGAAGAGGGGCAGCGGCTGTGGTTGGGGTCGGGGTCGGAGCTGCACTCAGTAGGAACACGAGTGCGAGCAGCTCCCTGGCTCTCCCTGCGGAGGAGAAACGAAACGGGCCATTAAGGCAACACAGAATAACCCGGGGGTGAGAGTGCTCTGGGGCAGCAGGGCCACCCGCGGCGAGGAGCGAGCCCGGGCTCGGAGTTCCCTCCAGTCGCTCGGCGCCGAAGCGTTGGGCCGTTCCCTTGGGGACGAGGCGCTGAAATCTTGTGTCTTGCTCCCAGCTCTTGCGCTGA